TATTAAGGGGATTTGGTCTGTGAAGTTTGGATTCAGTCAAAGGGCTGCACTTGAGGATCTAGAGGGCCACATGTGGCTTTAAGGATGCAGGTTCCCCACCGGACCTTCGGGTTTAAGGGCCATACTCTTTCTTCCATTGTCAGGTCTGTGGTACCTTCAGAGCAAACGTCAAAACCTCCAGTTTTGTGACTCTGGCAAGGGGCAAAGAAAGGAGGTGGTAGCTGTAGGGATAGAGAGCTAGACTTGGAGATGGAAGACCTGTGTCCAAATCCCACCTCAGATTCTGACTGGGCAAGTCACTTAATGTCTATATGCCTCAGCTTCCTCATCTGTAACATGGAGATAATAACAGTACCTGCCTCCCAAGGTTGTAAGGATCACATAATATTTGTAAAGTGCTTTGCAAACCTTAAAACACTATATAAATGGTAGCCATTGTTGTTGTTGTTGTTGTAATTTCCAATTTCTTAATTTCACCTCCTTGGCATGCTACCCACCTCCTGACAGAGACCTGATGGACTCATGGAACAGAATAAGACATATGGCCAATGTGAGAATTTGTTTCGTTTGACTACACATATTTGTTACAAGGGTTTTCCTTCTCTTTCCCTTCCCTTTCTCTTTCACCTTCCCCTTCCCCTTCCTTTTTCCCTTCCTTTCCCTTCCCAAAGTTGGAAAGAGACACTTGATTAATTAGTTGAAAAAAGTTTAATTAAAAAATTGTTCACCTTTCCTTTCCCTATTGGGACTATGTCTTGATATTTTCCTCATTTCCATGTTGCATATCTGACTAATGTGGCAAAAAGAGAGGGAAGGGAGATGTAAATATAGAGGATAAGGCAGGAATTTACTAGATCCCATTCCCACCATTCCTTCTCACTATTGCCCTTTCCATGTCTCTAGCCAGCAACTTTAATATCTTTTTCATTCATTCATTCAACAACTATTTATTAAACACATACTGTGTACCAGGAATTGTGCTAGAGTCAGGGGTGGGGAACTTGTGGCCTTGAGGCCACATGTGGCCTTCTAGGTCCTCGAGTACAGCCTTTTGACTGAGTCCATGTTTTACAGAACAAATCCTTTTATTAAGGGGAATTGTTCTGTGAAGAATTCTGTCAAAGGGCTGCACTTGAGGACCTAGAGGGCCACATGTGGCCTTGAGACCACAGGTTCCTCACCCCTGTTAATAACTATGGGGGCACAAAGACCAAACTAAAACAGGCCCTGCCCTCAAGGAGTTTACATTCCATTGGGAGGAAATCACATGTGCACAGAGAAGTTCATACAGGCAATATCCCAACTAAATACAAAGTGATTTATTTTTGGTCGAGGAGAGGGCACTAGCAACATCAGGGTTATGGATAAGTGTCATGTGTGGAGCTTGGAGGAATTTTTCCTTGTTTCTGGTGCCTTCTGTGGGCCAGGTTTGAACTTGATCTTTTTTACACTTCAAGCTTCCTCTGGAGGGAAGAGGTCAGTGGAGTCCCAGAGAAATCTTCTCCTACCTTCAGAGAAAATTACTTCTTTAGTCTAGTCCAGGGGTGGGGAACCTGCGGCCTTGAGGCCACATGTGGCCCTCTAGGTCCTCAAGTGCAGCCCTTTGACTGAAGCCAAACTTCACAGTTAATAAAAGGATTTGTTCTGTAAAATGTGGACTCAGTCAAAAGGCCGCACCTGAGGACCTAGAAGGCCACTTGTGGCCTCAAGGCTGCAGGTTCCCCCTCCCTGGCTGGTTGCAGGTTCCCTGGGCTGAGCTTTAAGACTAGTATCTCTTCCTTTTTGTCAATTTATGAGAAGCAACAAAAATTCAAGAACCAAGAAACCATTATTATATTAATAATAGTTTTTTTAAAATGTGGTGGCTATTTTCTGGACCTGGTATCCTTTGAGATGTTAGGCAGATACAGAAAGTCTCCCCTTTCAGAGAATTAACTGAGGAAGGATATTCTGGGAAGTGACTAGTCCGTTAGAGGGAGAGCTGGCTTATATCTCACTGGCTCCTTCTAGGACCCCGGAGCTCACTGTGACCTCTTGGCAGAGGTCTGTCTGGCTGTCCCCCTGCCATCCCAGCTACAGCCCAGGTTTGGATCCCATCCTCCCTGTCATCATCTTAACTCTTTCGACTCTTCCAAAGATTTAAAATCACTATGTAAATGTGATATCATGTGGAAAGAGGGTTAGATTGATTCTGCTCAGCATCACAGGGCAGAACTTGGGGAGATTACAGGAGGCAGATTTTGGCTTAATCTAAGGAAAAACTACTCAAAGTATTATGTGTTACCTGGGAAGGTAGTGAATTCCCTTGGTTAGTTAGTTAGCTAGTTAGTGAAGCAGCTAAGTAGCACTGGATCTGACACCAGGAAGATCTGACTTCAAATCTAATCTCATGACATTTACTAGCTGTGTGACATTGGGCAAGTCACTTAACCTCTGTTTGCTTTAGTTTCCTCAACTGTAAAATGGGGATGATAATAATAGCACTTATTTCCCAAGGTTGTTGTGAGGATCAAATGAGATATGTGTATAAAGTGCTTAGCACAGTGCCTAGCACTATATAGAAAGCTCATAGTACGTGCTATTTAAATGTTTATTCCCTTCTCTCACCCATCCCCCCAAGACTGGAAGTTTGTACTAGATAACTTTCCAGTTCTGGATGTATCATATCACTTCCCTTCTCTGGTCTTCAGTTTATCTGTAAAATCAAGAAGTGGGACTCTGGGACCCACAAGATCCCCTCTAGCTCTGAAAACTGTGAGCCTAGAGTATGTTTTATACTATTTTAACTATTTGGTGGTATTTTCAGATGATTATCCTAATCTTTTCTGATGTCTTAGAAACTATTCTTGGGGGTCTCCTATATTATTTTGACCTATAGAGCCTTTTCATCCACGAAGTTTCTTGTGACTAGAACATACCATCTTCGCTTGTAGATTAGTCATGAAACCTCAAGAGTTCAGAGACATAGCAGCTACATTGAGGCCTTTTCTGCTCATCCATTAATATCCTCCACTCCCACATTGCTAAATAGGGAGTAGGAGAAGTAAGGACTGAAAGGTAGGATGAGGCCTTTGAGGACAGGCAGGAGATCTTTGAATGCCACAGGCTGGAGAGGATACTTACTTGCCTATAATGCTTTAGGTGATGGCAGCAATTGAGGCTGCTGACTACTACTGGGAGTCCTTTCTTTGGAGATGCCCCTGGCATTTTGTCACAATTACACACATGGTGATGAGGCTGTAGAGATTATGATTGTGCTAGGCACATGGAGATCAGTTAGTTGAATCACCAAGCTGCCAGCCCTCAACCCAGAAGGAAAGAGGCAGGGAAGCCAAATCCTAGCCAATGAACCAGGGGCAAAACCCCTGGGATTCTGCCAACGAGGGTGCTGGCCCCTGCTCCAAGTCTGTAGCTATAGTCATGAGTTTTGTCCTGATATGTACCTACGATCTGGCAGGTGGTGGGAAGATTCAGAAGAATGATCCCTGAAGATGCAGTGGAGATGGGGAGGAGGCATCTGAATATGGAGGAATATAAGAAAAAGAAAGAGAAGAAGGAAATATGGAATAAGCCAAGGAAGAAAAGAAAGGGACACATACTTAATATGTGGTGTCAAAAGGTCCATAATCCTATCTCAAAGTGGATCCTTCCTCCAGATGCTGGAGGAATCTACTGGCAGAGAGCCAGATGTTTCCCACCCCCTGTGTTCATTGCCATGATCAGCATTCTCCAGGTAGATATGTGCTTATGGGGAGGGAAGAGGGGAAGAAGAGGATGAGAGGGAGGCTGTAGATAAGCACCCCTAAGGAACAGAAACAAACTCTGCTGCTTACATCTACAAGGGACAAGGGATGGAATGAACCTGGAGCAGAAAAGACAAGTGACAGACAGAATCTTTACCAAGTAATGGCCAGATACTCTCTCCAGCTGACTCCTCAGACTTTTCCATGTTCTTCTTTCTTCCTGTCCTTCTTAGTCCTGGCTTAATGCCTCCTCCCACATCACTTTTACCCCCATCTCTTTATCTCAACAATTCTTTGGCGAGAGTAGTTTCAGAACTCAATTTGCTTTAAAATAAAGGTTCAGCCTTTTATTTTTACATCATAGTCAATTCTAGAATTCCCCCACCTAGGACCCCAACACTGACCCCTCCCTTGTCTTAATAACAACAACAAATAAGCAAAAACCACTTATAAAATGACTTTGTTCTGACAGTATATCTCTCAGCTGAAAGAAGGGGGAAGCTATGTTTCAAAATCTGTTCTGGGGACCAAGAGTGGTCATTGTAATTACTTAAGAGTTCCTGCCCACACATTTGCTAAGAGATTAAATGACATTTCTCAAAGGATTTAACCACAGATAGAGTGGTGATGCCATTCAAAGTGACTTGATGCTTAGGCAAAGTAACTATGGAGCCTGCTTTTGCCATGTGATTTCAAGTACGTGGCAATGTCTTTCCCAGAACACCCCTCACTCCAAATCTGTCCAGTGATACTCACGTCTAATAGAATGAATGAAAAAACAGTTAAGTGCTTACTAAGCATGCTGAAATGAGATTAATATAATGTCTTAAGGTCACACTAAAGTTCAAATGACTGGTAACAGGCTTTTTCTCCCCAAGAACAGATTCTGATAAGGACAGAGGAGAATGTCTAGAGTGGATGAAAAACAGGGTAGGAATGGATAAAAGAGAAGTGCAAAACAGAGCAGAAGTAGGTTCAATATACTGAAGAAACATTTGGATAATTTCACAATTTTGTTTAGGGCTGGCCTTGACTCCACTGACCAGTAGTATCTGGAGGAAGTATGATACACAGGGCTGGGGAAGGGCATGCAGTGGTCATACCATCTCTGTTTTGTTATTCCTGACCATCTATTGCAGGCTATCTTGTTTAGCAGCCATCCCATTTTAAATAAAGGCACTATATCTACGGGCTTAGCTGGGCCACTATTTGGACTTGGATGAAGTATCACTGACATTATTTGTCACTGCTTGGCAGCTTGGTATTTTTGTTTACTATACCTTCTGGAAGCCCCAGGAAGAGTGGAACACCCCAGAAATGGGCATCTGGGAGAGTCCATTCATTTATCGGCCAGACAAGAGGAAGCAAGCTTGGAGGTTCATCTCTTACATGATGGTGCATGTTGGGTAAGAAATAAGAGATGGGAACTGACTCTGACTGTTATAAAGAATGTTTTACATGTTTATATATAATATATATGTATATATATACATATGTGTATATATGTAAATGCATATATGTAACATATTCACAGGGATAGATAGTACTGCATAGAAGTCCCACAGTTCTGCTACTTAGCTACATAGAAGATTTGGGGTCAAGTTATTTCTCTCGCTATGCCTCAGTTTCCTCATCTGTAAAATGAAGAGAGTTAGACTAGATGATCTTTAAAGCTCCTTATCTAGTTCTGTATCCTAAGTTCTATAAACTTCAAAACCAAGTCTTGTTTTTCTCAGTCTATTTCTTTTTGCATTTTCCCTTTGAACTAGACTCTGTTATTCATCCTGTTCTCACCATTTAGTGAGCTCCAACAAACACATTTACCTCATCTTCAAGGACTCAGACATAACCAATCTTGCTTGGAAGGCTACCCATTTCATTTTACCTAGCTTTTCTTCAGCGTAGACTGCTTTTTTGTAATCTTGTGTGTATATCCTAGTAATTACAATATGCTAATAATGACAGCCAATGTTAGAGACAGCAGGCTTCAGGTGACTAGACACTTTGGGCCAATGGCTAGTAGTGTCCACAGTCAGAAATAAGGTCTCAGGTTCCTGGCCTCTTTTCCCAGCAACCCAAGGTCATAGTCATTAAGACCTGAGATTCTTTGGACCAGGTTATATGGACTTTACAACTAGATTTGCTGAACACTTAGAATAATAGGCTTTGGGTACTATGGAAAATGCAAAAGATAGATGAAATAAAGTCTTTTCTCTCAAGAACCATAGATTGAGGTGGGGAGACCAGACTCACATACTGTTAAGTAACCTGTGGCAGCATGTGAACCCTGTCTCTGACACTGTGACTTTGGGCAGTCACCTTTTAGGTTCTCATTTTCCTTATGAACTAAAGGGGTAGGATTGGATAATCTCTGAGGTTCCCATCAGCCCTGTGATTACATCATTTTATGATTAAGTATCAAAATTCCATGGTACAGACAATTAGTGACATAGGTGATAGATAAGGGAGGAACCAGTTTGGGAAGATTTCACAGAAGAGGGGGGCATTTAATAATAATCATACTTAATTTTTATGTAAAACTTTAAGGTTTGCAAAGTGCCTTGCATATGCTATCCCATTTGATCCTCACAACAACCCTGTAAGGTAGATGCTACTGTTTTACAAATGAGGAACTGAATCAGATGAATTTAAGTGACTGGCCCAGGATCACATAGATGATAAAGGTAGGAGGCGGGATTTTAACTCGCATCTTCCTGCCTGAGCACAGTGTCTGGAACATAGTAAGCATTTAATAAATGTTTATTGATTGATTAATTCTTGCCTCTAAATCTGACTCTCTTTCCCTGTGCCACCTGGCTGCCTGAAGGACTGGTAGGAATTAGATGAAAATTAATATTGTTCTGAAAATGCAAGGAGTTTTACCTCAAAATTAAACAGAAGGTCAGAGATTGAAGGTTTTGTTGTTGTTCAGTTGTGTCTGACTCTTCGTGAAGTCATTTGGGATTTTTTTGTGGCAAAGATACTGGAATGGTTTGCTATTTCCATTTCCAGCTCATCCAAGAAGAATTGGGAGCCTAGAGAAATAAAGTAACTTGTTTAAGGTCAAACAGCTATTAAATAGAGACCTGGAACTTTAGCTCAACCCATCTGATCCCAAGGCCAAGTGTTTTCTGTACTACAATGAGGATTCCTTCTCACCCTGGAGATGTCAGCTTTGTGGTCCTGGGTCCTGCTACTTTGTGGTCCTGGGGGATTCAGCCTGCTCTCTAGCCTGCCTGTACCTTATCCCCAATAGCCCTTGAGAAATAGAATTTACTTTTTCATTTCTTTATTCATTCAAAAAACACTAGGCATATATGTGAATGTGCCTAGGGCAAGGTTCTTCCCCTCTTCCCCCTCCCTAGTCCCTGTGATAGTAGCTCTGGTGGTTACAGTTCTAGAGATGGGAGGAGGGCATTGGAATGTCTCTTGAGTTCTATCTTAAGTCTGTGTCTCAGCCACTGCTCAATCCCATGAGGACCCTCAGTGAAAAGCAAGCAGGAACTCTGAGGGAAAGTTGAATCAGGTCAACCCCCCTTTCCATGGCAGTCACAGGAGTGACAAGCTTGTTAGTCACCAGAACAGCCTCGGAGAGGTCAAGTGACTTGCCCAATGAGAAAATTTATATGAAGTTCTTTGAAAACTTTAAAGCTCCATATGGATGGTGGTGATGATGATGATGATGATAATTCTCCATCACTGGAGGGTTGGATGAACAGCATAGATTATTGAGTATACTGTTGAAAGGGGTGGTTGGTTAGTTACAGGTTGACGTAGAACACAGCTGTGTTCTCTTTTGGCTTCAGTTCTTTTTTCAACAGACCCCTGAGCACAAAACAAAAACAAAAAACTTCAAACTACACTGTTATCAAATTCCAGCAATAACATTGATGGTGGCCTCTAGGTTAAGCATACTGATAAAGCTGAGACAACATCCCTAGGCCTATGTAATCCTTCAAAGAAAGCTGCTGAGTGGTTTGTTGATGACGTCACAAGTCTCCATATCCCCACACTGATGATAAGATTCTTGTTTTCCCTCACAGGTTCCAGCATATTTTTGGAAATGTACTTATGCAGCTTCTTTTGGGGCTTCCCTTGGAAATGGTTCACAAAGGTCATCGAGTGGGGCTGGTCTACCTGTCAGGAGTGTTTGCAGGTCAGTATTCTGGGGACAGATACAAACTCAATGTCCAGGGAGAACAGAGTTAAGAAAGCAACCAACAGATAGCACACTGGCCCTAGGGATGGACTGAATTTTTCCTTCATATTTGGCTTGTATAAAACTACAAGTGCAAATTGTGTTCTCAGAGAATATCAATGAAATTGATGAAGTCAGAGAGCAGCAATGGCTAAAAATGAAACTTTTAAAACTTCAATGGGAAAAAAACCCTTTTCCATAAGCGAATATATTCTAAAACAGTAATTCTCTTTGTTTTATGTATAGCTATACCCTCCCCCCGCCCCCGCCTTTTCAAAGAGATCTTTTGGGAATGTAGTCTATGTTTGAATCAATATGGCATTTATCAAGCAATGACTGTGCCTAACACAGTGCTGGGGGCTCTAGGGGGTACAGAAGTGACAAGACATGGTCCTACTCTCAGAGAGTTCAGGAAATAAAATTAATATTATCTGGAGCCATTAGAAAAGTCATGAAGGGCTTGATTGTGTGGTAGTGATGAACGACTTCCATAGTAGCCAAGGGAAGAGACAGAGAGAAGTCAGGACCCATGCTTGACATCCATGAGGGGAGAAGAGAGACTGGTGTGTGTACAGGTGTGACCATGGAAACAAGAATGGCACATTGAGAAGATGGTAAGGTTCTCTTCCCCCAATGGATGCTGGGACAAGGCAGGAAAGCACTGGGGAGCAGCAGTGTGAGGGGTTGTAAGAAGAGCATTGGAATCAGGAGACCTAGATTCTAATCCTCACTTAGCAATTCTATAGGTATGGGACAGCGGGCAAATAGCTCAACCTGCCAGCCTCAGTTTACTCATTTGTAAAATGAGAGTGATAACTGTTGTGAGGAAAACTTTTCATCCATCTTAAAAGCACTATAGAAACGTAAATGATTAAATAAGACTGGATTGCACGAGTGGGCTCCCTTTTTACTAACCAGGCTGAGGAATTTGAATTTGATGCCACGGGCCAAAGGGAGCCACTGAGGCTGAGCAAAGAAGGCCATGGGAAAAAGCAGAGATCAAGGAAGAGAACTGAGTAATTCAGAATATACCACGGTGATTAGTTAGCTTGAAGAGCCCTGCCTTGAGATGTCAGGCCCTTCTCATATGTATTGCTTCTATTTGACATCCAAGATTGGAAACAATAAATTTGGAGGCCTTTGTTGGTGTGTTAATATATCAGCAGACAGCAAAAACATCTTGAACTTCCACTGTATCCTAGAGAAATGTGGCTCTTAGTTCAATTACTTTATTTAACATTGATTAAGTATAGTATGTCCCTCATTATGTTAGATGCTAGGAGAGATACAAAGGAAAATAAGACTGGGTCCCTGTCCTCAGATGGTTCACAGTTAAGTAGAGGGGATATGACGCATATTTCCAGGAATAACAATAATGAACAGGTAAGATTTGAAATTGAGGGTCTGGGTTCCAATTCTGACCCTGCTATTTAGTAGAAGATACACAAATTTAGAGACATCTCCAGTCCAAATGTTCATGTGGACTATTTGTGCCCGACCTATGATAGAACCTTCTGAGCTCATATTGGTTTGATCAGCCACAATGGGACACACTGTCCTTGACCCCAACATAGTGATGTCATTTTGGTCCTTTTTGATAACAAAGGACAACAACCACCTTTGTAGGCTTTGGCAAGTCACTTAATCTCTCTGGGTTTGTTTTCTCATTTCTAAAATCAAGGTACTGGACTAGATGATCCCTGATTCTATAATCTCATGATATAACATATCTGGGGAGAGAATGGTCATTGTCAACTTGGGACTGTGGGTGAATGGGATCAAGGAGGGCTTCTTTGAGAAGTGGCCTTGGAGCGGGGTCTTGGATGGGCAGGTGGAGATGGGAGGATGGGCGTTGCATGTGGGGAACAGTGTGAACCAAAGTGTGGAAGTGGGGAAAGAGTTCAACAGGGAGGAAGAACCACAAGGAGTATATGAGAGCATAGCGTGCAGGGCCAATGAGATAAAGCTGCAGGGAGGGATAGAACTTGGCCTAATGTTTGAACTTTCCAATAAGGAGCAGCCATTGAAGAGTTGTGGGTAAAGGAATGAGTGACAAGATCAGGGCTGTGCATTAGGAGAAAGATGAAGTCAGAGAGGAGGAAGACCTGAGGTAGGGAGACCTGTAGCCCATGTAGCCATAGCAACAGCCTCCCTTTCAGCCTCCCTTTGGTGCTTTCACTTTTGATGCCTCTGATTCTCTGAATTTCTTTCATTTCTGCAGGATCTCTTGGAAGTTCTGTCTGTGAACCTTTCCAAGCTCTAGTGGGGGCTTCAGGAGGAGTCTATGCTCTCACAGGAGGCTATTTTATGAACATTTTAGTGGTAAGAACCTTTTCAGGGAATGGGGAATACCAATTGGCAGATTTCTTTTTTTACTGGCATTTGATTCAGGGATAATAATTGTTACCAATATTTACTGAACATACATATTCAACTGGAGTGTTATACGAGTGGCAAACATTGGTTTCTAAACAGTGCCAAATCTTGAATAGAAACAAACTAGTCATATTTTAAAAATACAACCAGAGGGGAAAATGGGATTATTAACAAATCCCTTCTAAATATGGAAATCAATTAAAACAAACAAAATTCAGGCTGCTTTTCTTGTAGCATCTTCCCTGGGAATAGGGTTCTGGTTAACTTGAAAAGGAAGAAAGAAATAATTTGGTTAAATACTTGAGGAGGGAAACTTTATATTCTCTTTAGCTGGTATGCTTGCAGTGCCTTAAACAATGCTGTCTTTTGCAAAATGGCCAGTTAGTAGCAAGTGCTACTCTCCTACCTACTTATTCCTTTGGGCAAATAAATCATTTAATCTTCTGAACTTCCATTCCTCAATCTACAGTGTGAATAGTAATACATGTATACACATTTTATTGGACTGAATGAAATAATGGATGTAAATATGGAATGTGAATGAATGGACATAAATGAAGTAATGGATGTAAAGTACTTTGTGCCCCTATGATGCTAGAGAAACATAAGCAGTATTAATAGTAAACTCATGTTTTATGTTGATGATTATGAGGAGGCTGATGAACTGAGATGTTTTCTGATCATATGTAGTATCTTATACTTTTGTCCTTTTCTCCTGGCAAGAATTTTAAAAACATGGTTCCTTTGTTTGGATTTTTCAGACTAACGCTCATCTTGTTCATTTGTAAGTATTTTATCTTTGTTGCTATTTTACATTTTTTAGTTTTAAAAGTTCAATGTAGTTATACCACCTCTTAAAAAACTGAATGTCAAATCAACTACAAAAAGGACTATGAAGGAAGGTGCTACCCCACTTCCAGAGAGAGAACTGATAAATAGAAGTATGCATAGTATGGGTTTACATATATATGTATATAGGCCTATATACACATATATATATATGTCTGTGTTATATATGTCTATGTCAAATAGTGGCCTTCTCTGGTGCAGGATGGGGAGGGAAGGAGAGAGTAAGACAGTTCAGAGCTTAAAATGTAACCAAAAAAATACAAAATTTTTTAAAAGTTAAAAAAAGATGCAAAATGCAAAATAACACACACACACACTGTACACACACACACAAAACTGAATGTGTAACTTACGTATGCCAATTTGAGATGACCACCGTGTATTTTGGTTACTTACTCCAAACCACAAAGTGTATGTAGTGGATGTGTTAAATTAGGAGAAAAACTTAACATGCTTTCTTGGTGTTATTTTAATATGAATAATAACTATTTCTTTAAACCGTTAACTTTTACTAGTAAAGGAAATAATTCTTTTAGAGGAAGCTTTTGGTCCTTTGGAAAAAATAAAAGCTTAAAAATACAATTTATCACCTTTCTCACTATATTATATCACCTATATCACCTCACTCTGAATCTTTGTTATGGATGAGTTGTCATCAATAGTCTTGTCTGACTCTCCATGACCTCATTTAGGGTTTTTTTTTTTGGCACAGATACTGGATGGTTTGCTATTTCCTTCTCCAGCTCATTTTACAGATGAATTGAGGCAAACAGAATTAAGTGAATTGCCTGGGGTCACACAGCTATTAAGTGCCTGAAGCCTGATTTGAATTCAGGTCCTCCTGGCTCCAGGGCTGTTATTCTACCCACTAGCACACCTAGCTGCCCACCCTGAATCTTAGCTTGGAGTAAAAGACCCTCCCTCACCTAGGTATTAGGTGGTACAATAGATAGAACTGTTGAACTTGGAATCAGGATGGCCTGAGTGCAGATATGGCCTCAGACACTTAATAGCTGTGTGACCCTGGCCAAATCACTTAACCTCTCTTTACCTCAGTTTCATCATCTGTAATCACACTACCTCCTAAGAGTTCTGTGAGGCTAAAATGAAATATTTGCAAAGTGTTTAGCACAGTTCCTGGAACATAGTAGGTGATATATAAATGGTAGCCATTGCCTGCCTGACTTCAGAGTGGTCCTTTTGTACTTTTAGAGATGGAATAGACCCCCAGTTATCATTTAATAGAAAATTCTCATTTTACTTTGAGTCCCAGAGAGGCTAAACTGACAGCTAGTAGCTTTTGCCTAACCTGTAGATATATTCCCAAGGCTTTTTTTTAAAATGAATTTATGGATTAAGGTAGCCAGAAAAATTTCTTCTAAAACCTTTCTTAAGAGACTGGCATGCCTGAGGTCCTAGAACCAGAGGGTAAAATAGCCATAGAACGAATCCACCAATCACCTCCTGAAAGAGATCCCAAATTGAAAATGCCAAGGAATATAGTAGCCAAATTCCAAAATTACCAGGTCAAAGAGAAAATACTGCAAGCAGCCAGAAAGAAACAATTTAAATATCATGGAACCACAGTCAGGATTACACATGACCTTGCAGCTTCTACATTAAAAGACCGTAGGGCATGGAATATGATATTCCGTAAGGCGAAGGAGCTTGGATTACAACCAAGGATCAACCATCTAGCAAAAATGAGCATGATCTTTCAGGGGAAGAGAAGGATATTCAACAAAATAGGGGACTTCCAAGCCTTCCTCATAAAAAGACCAGAGCTCAACAGAAAAATTGATCTTCAAATACAAGCCTCAAGAGAGACATAAAAAGGTAAACAGGACAGAAAGAAACAACATGTTATTAATAAGGGCAAACTATTTACATCCTTCCAAGGGAAGATGACACTTGTAACTCTTGAGAACTGTATTGTTATTACACAATATTAAAGGGGTATACATAAAGGGAGTGGGTATAAGTGGACTTTGATATAATGATAAAAAAAAATCTAATCAAGTGGGTTAAATGGATCCAAGTAAGCAGACTAATCTGATCTAACTAAGAAAATGTACTGAGAGAAAAGGAAAGGAGGAGGCAGACAAGGGTAAATTACATTACAGGAAAAGGCACAAAAACCTTTTACAGTAGAGGGAAAGAAGGGAAGGAGATGAGCATTGTTTGAACCTTACTCTCATCAGATTTGGCTCAAGAAGGGAATAACATAATCAGTTAGATATAGAAATCTAACTTGCCCTGTAGGCAGTAGGAAGGAAAAGGGGAAAGAAAAGGGAGGGGGAATAGAAGGGAGGTGGGACTGAGGGAGGTGGTAGCCAAAAACGAAACACTAGTGAGGAAGGAAAAGGAGAAAGAAAAGCATAAACAGGGGGGAAAAGGATGTAGAGAAAGACACAGGTAGTAATCATAACTGTGAATGTAAATGGGATGAACTCTCATAAAACGGAAGCGGATAGCAGAATGGATTAAAAACTTGGAGAATCCCAGAGAATCAAGTAAAAAACTACTTGAAATAATAAACAACTTTAACAAAGTTGCAGGCTATAAAATAAACCCACATAAATCATCAGCATTTCTATATATTACCAACAAAGCCCAACAGCAAAAGACAGAAAGAGAAATTCCATTTAAAGTTACTGTAGACATTATAAAATATTTAGAAGTCTATCTACCGAAACAAACCCAGAACTATATGAACACAATTGCAAAACACTTTTCATGCAAATAAAGTCACATCTAAATAATTGGAAAAACATCAGTTGCTCATGGATAGGCCGAGCTAATATAATAAAAATGACAATTCTACCCAAGCTAATTTATTAATTCAGTGCCATACCAATCAAACTACCAAAAATTATTTCATAGAGTTAGAATAAATAATAGCAAGATTCATTTGGAATAACAAAAGGTCCAGAATATCAAGGGAATTTATGAAAAGAAATGTAGGGGAAGGTGGCCTAGCCATTCCAGATCTTAAATTGTATTATAAAGCAGCAATCATCAAAACTGCTTGGTACTGGCTAAGAAATAGAGTGGTGGATCAAGTGGAATAGGTTAAGTATGCAAGACACAGTAGTCAATGACTATAGTAATCTATTATTTGATAAACCCAAAGACCCCAGCTTCTGGGATAAGAACTCACTCTTTGACAAAAACTGCTGGGAAAACTGGAAAAGAGTATGGCTGAAACTAGGCATAGATCAAAATCTCATACCATATACCAAAATAAAGTCAAAATGGGTTCATGATTTAGATATAAAGGCTGATACTGTAAGCAAATTGGGAGAGCAAAGAATAGTTTACCTGTCAGATTTATGGAGAACAGAAGAATTCATGACCAAACAGGAGATAGAGAACATTATGAAAAGCAAAATGGATAACTTTGATTACATTAAATTAAAAAGTTTTTGTATAAACAAAGCCAATACAACCAAAATTAGAAGGAAAGTAGAAAATTGGGAAGGAATTTTTACAACCAGTCTGTCTGATAAGAACCTTATTTCTAAAATATATAGAGAATTAAGTCAAATTTATAAGAATACAAGTCATTCCCTAATTGATAAATGGTCAAAGACAGTTCTCAGATGAAGAAATTAAAGCCATCTATAGTCACATGAAAAAATGCTCTAATCACTATTGATTAGAGAAATGCAAATCAAAACAACTAAACAAAAAACCTATCAGATTGGCCAACATTACAAAACAGGAAAATGATAAATGTTGGGGAAGATGTGGGAAAATTGGAACATTAATGCATTGTTGGTGGAATTGTGAAATGATCCAACCATTTTGGAGATTTGGAACTTAGCCTAAAGGACTATAAAAATGTGCATATGCTTTGACCCAGCAATAGCACTTCTAGGGCTATATCCAGAGAGATCATACAAATGGGAAAAAGATCCACATGTACAAAATTATTTATAGCAACTCTTTTTGTGGTGGCAAAAAATTGGAAATTGAGGGAATGCCCATCAATTGGGGAATGGCTGAACAAGTTGTGGTATATGAATGTAATGGTATTGTGCTATAAGAAATGATGAACAGGCTGACTTCAGAAAAACTTGGAAAGATCTGTATGGTCTGATGCTGAGTGAAGTGAGCAGAACCAGGAGAACATTGTACACAGTAACAGCCATGTTGTGCGATGACTAATATTGACAGACTTAACCCTTCTCAGCAATAAAAGGATCTAAGACATCTCCAAAGGCCTCATGATGGAAAATGCTACCAGAGAAAGAACTATGGAGTCTGAATGCACATCGAAGCATACTATTTGCTATTTTTTTTTTTTTACTTCTGTTGAGTTTTGTTTCCTCTTTCTGGTAGTTCCTCCTATTGGTTCTAATTCTTCCTTACAACATCACTAATGTGAAAATATGCTTAATAGGAATGTATATGTATAGTCTATATCTAGCCGTCTTGGGAAGGAAGGTGAGGAGGGAGGGGAAGAAAAATTTAAAACTCAAAAGTTTATGGAAGTGATTGTTGATAAATCAAAATAATTTAAAAACAAAACAAAACAAAAGATCCTTTCCAGCTTTAACCTTTACTATCCTAGATCTTTCTATAGAGCAATTTTAGATATGAAAACATTTATCTTCCCCACTTTTTAACTTCCTACAAACCCTCCAAAGTACAGGTAAAATAAATTTCACTTTACACAACAGATACACTCTTGGAAAAAAAAACAACCCACAAATTGTTATAAGGTGAATCACACTTTTAAAGACATAGACATAGCTGCCAACAAAAGGAATCAAATAAACAAATCAACAGGCAAAATCCTACCCATAATCCCTTAACCTTTAAAAGTAGACTCAAAAGAACTAAACAAGTGAATGAGATAAGATGCGTTCCTCCCCAAGTTCATTAGCTTTGGTCCCGCTTTCCTTCTTTCTCAATTAAACCACATTTTAATTAGTAGGAGGAGGATTAAATTCCTTTTGTAACAATCACCCAACACTTGTAGGTTCACAGAATTTTGCAGAAATTTCAGAGCATTTCAGTCCAGACTTTAGAGATAACCCAAACCCTTATTTTATAATGGAGAAAATAGAGAACCCTAGTTGGAAAATGACCCCCAAGCAGGTGAGGGGTGAGGCTGGAACTCAGGTCTATTGATTCTCAGCTTGAACTGCAGTCAGCCCACTCTCTTAATTTTTCCCCCCCTAAAAGTTAGAATTCTTAGCTGTTCATGTGCATAGTAGGTACTCAGTTTTTGTTTTTTTTTTAATGGTGACAAATAGGGCTGGAGATCAAATTTCTCCTTTTGGTTTTCTGAAGCAATATGAAGTTCTCATGGATCGTCTATTATGAGAGAAAGGAAAAAGTCCTAACCAACACTAGGTTCAAATCTCAGCTTTGCTACTTTTATAACCTGTGTAACCTTGAGAAAGTCCCCCAAGTCTCTGGGATTTAGATTCTTCCTTTGCAAAAGGAGGAGACCAGACAAAATGACCTCTTAAGCCCCTGTGACATAGGTCGCTGGCTTCTAGGAGCTTACAGTCTAGTTGGGGTGCTGTGACCAACACACATGGAGCAAGGAGCAAGATGAAAAGACAGTGGAGTGCTGTGGAAGTTCAGAGAGTAAGAGGTCAGTGTGGTCTGAAGTGATCAGGAAAGGCTTCCGGGAGGAGGTGAATTTAGAGTAGAAACTTGAAAGACAGGCTGCAGAGAGAAGTGGTGGAAAGTCACACCCAATCACTCTCTGGATTTCATTCTTTTCATTTGTCACCAGACTCTATCTCTAATGTCCCTTCTAATTAAAAAAAAAAGTCCTCTGTTTCTATGGCAAGGGAGTCCAGATGTGATGGGATTGGTGTCATTTCCCTGTGAGTGCCATAGTCCATGTTGAGGGAAAAGTGATTTTGTTAATTGGTGTCAAGGGTTTAATTATTTCTGACGTTGAGAATTACTGTGGGAGCAAGGACAACTGCTTTGGAGGACAGAAAGATTCGGTTTGATGATGAAATTACGAGCCACATATTCCTCTGGATGAAAATTAACATTTTAAAAACACTGATTTTTCCCTGGGAGATAAAATTCCTCATCTGGTTGAACTGTAGACTTTGGGCACTTTTATATGATTCTTTGTGCAAAAAAGAAATTAAAAAAGGAGAATTATGGCAGGAAGCAAGGAAGAGAAGCACCTCAGCGTCAGCCCTCACTCTTCTCTGGTCTGGCTGCAATGAGTTTGGGAGAGCATGGTGGTACAATAGATAAAAGTGCCAGGCCTGGAGTCAGGAAAACCTGAGTTCAAATTTGATCTCAGATACTTACTGTGTGACCTTGGGCAAATCACTTCACCTCTGTTTACCTCAGTTTCCTCATTTGTAAAATGGGGATAATAATAGCATCTACCTCCCAGAGTTGTAGTGATAAGCAAATGAGATCATATTTGTAAAGCAGTTAGCACAGTGCCCAGTACATAATAAGCACTATATAAACATTCACTATTAGTATTATAGGGCAGTGAGATGGTACAATGGTTAGAGCGCTGGTCCTGGGGTCATGTTGAAAACTAGACTCAGACATTTACCAGCTGGGGGACCCTAGGCAAGTCACTGAGGTTTGCCTCAGTTTCCTCAACTGTAAAATGAGCTGGAGAAGGAAACGGCAAACCCCTCTGGTATCTTTGCCTCAAATAGTGTCACCGAGAGTCGGACAAGACTGAAACCACTTAACAATTATTATTATTAATAATAATAAGTGGCAGAGAGGCTGACAACTCCCAGACTTAGCTAGCTTTCCAACAATCTGAGTTACGAAGATTGAGAAATCAAAGAACTGACAACTCCACAGAAAAAAATGTGACTATCTTCTTGTCAATGCATCTTCAAATGGCTTTTGGCAAAAGCACGTCACTTAAGGGTAATATATAGGACGATTTTCCTTTGAGAGTAAAAAACACTTCAAAATCCTCCATGGTCGGGGGTGGGGCGGGGAGAGGAGAGGGAAGCATTGATTTTATTCATCTCCGAGATCCTTCAGTTCAGAGAGCACCTGTGCCAGTTATGAGATTAGTCAAAAGGAATGAATTAAGAAAACAAAACTTTTCAAGTGGGGCTACCCAATCCTGTCCATTCCTTGCCACACTTATGTTGAGCATTTCTGAACACGCTGGATCCCTGAGAGATGGGGAAGGAAACACCAACGCTTCAGAAACTCAGGACGTTATAATAAACCATGAATAATTAATTAAATAAGAAATACAGAAAGCCCTTGAATTCAGTTCCCTCGGGAATGTACATTTTAATGGTTCTTGGTTAAACTGGTTGTATATCTTAATTGTCAAGTACAGTGGTGGTGAGACTCTACCTGTACCCTCCTCCCTTGTATCCTCCATGTCCCCACCCTCTTCCCCCCAATGTACATAACTGTTGAGTATATTTTAAAATAATCAATGGGCTATAAAGTGACTTTTCCTCAAGATTATGAGAAGACAAGAGAAATAACAGATTTTTCAGTTTGGGGAAAGATAAATCTTTATGAAGGCAAGTCTTTAAAAAAAATAAGATCCTTAAGTTTTTCATGACAATTTTTTTTTTAACGATCGGAAACTCAGGCTCAAATCCTGCTGTCCTGTATGTCTGGGAGGAAAAGAAATTACAAGCAAAGGTTTAGGCAGAAGAGCTGGAGTCCCTAAGTCTCTTCAGAGGCTAGAAGGATGCAGGAGCAAACTCTGAAAAGCAGGAAAAGACAGTTGAAGATTCATAAGCATGGCCAAGAGAGAACTAGGGAAGAAGTGAATCAAGTCAAGTTACTAAAAAAATTAGGATATTCAAAGTTGCAAAGAGAGTTTGGGTGAGGGATTCTGCCCTGTGGCAAAGTAATCAGGGTGTTTTAAACAATTTGGCACAGAAAGGAAGTTATCAGAGCACACAACTACTAGGGAAGTAGTACATCACCTTACGTATGCTTTGTCCACATTTCATCAGCAAGGGCACTTTGTATTCTAAATGTCAGTTTAAAGACCAGACAGGAGGATGCTTCGAATGACCACATGGCCATGTTAGATTCTAGAGACAAGATCTAGTATTCCATATCTGGGTTGATTGTAATGACAAGAATGAGAATCCTAGCAGGGTTATGACCTCTGTTGCCATTGCATGACTGCAGCATCGCTAAAAATCTTGAAGTCGGGCATCAATTACATATTAGCTGGGCTGATGAAACATTCCTTGGCTTTTCCCTAAGACCAAGCCTGTACCTTTTTACCTCTTGGGACACCATGAATCCCTAAAATAGAGACCGGGCACATGAGGTCCAATGTCAAACGTTAATACTGCATTTTTTTTTTTTTAGCTATTCTCAAGTGCTAGGACCAGAGTCCACCTTGGTTCTGGCCCCTGAAATATAAGATTTGTCAGTTGGTCCTGACCCTTTCTTCAGATTCTGTGGCCGTGTTGCCTTTGTAGGGACAGCACTGGCACTTTAGAGAGGACAAGAGTTGTTTTGGGTAGCATTTGGGAAATGTCATAAGGACTATCAGGGCTTCACCAGCCTGTTTTTCCTTCCAGTTGTATTTGACATGGGATTTGCCTTCTTCAGAAAATTCATGGCACCTCCAGATGGGTCCCCGGTGAGTTCTATTTATTGTTGTTGATAAGTATCCTAGTCCTGACCTCTATTTTTGTGCCTTACTCCTGTCCCCCAACCCCATGAAAAGATTTGAAAGTGGGTATGAAGTGCCAGATGAAGCTACAAGAGTCTTATGGCCTGCAGCTCAGTCTTAGCAAGCGATGATGTCTACCTCTTATCCCTCAAAGCCCCAAAGACTAGGCTCAACACCCCCACCTCTGAGGCACAAAATGACCACGGGCATCACAGACACCAATGTTAGGGTAGCAGCACCCTAGAAGCAACTGCTCAAGATTGCCAATGTTTCTTCTTCCTCTTCCAATCAAGTGTACCTCAGTGACCATTTAGGCCTGACAGCAATGGGGCCACCAATTGGTTGGTGATGGTATCTTTCTTGCTTCTTCTAGCCCTGCTCCCTCCCTGGTAAAACTGGGGCCCTCTTGCACAGCCTTGTCTCCCCCTGCAGTTCTGGGGGTTATTACAGATAACAGGAGAGGGGAGCTTTTCCATGTTCCGCATTCCTCAGGATTCCATTCTGGAAATATGCTCTAGTGGAGGGAAAAAAGAGTCCCTGGGTTTGAATCTTCAGTTCTGCTACTTATTACTTGTCTCCTAGGGCAAGTCCTCCTCTCTGGACCATTTTCCTTTTCTGTAAAATGAGGGAGTTGGACCAGATGACCTTTAGGATCCCTTCTACCTCCAAATTTTTGCTTCTATGATGATAATCTTGGCCCTGCTATATTAAGCCTACCAAAATTGAATAAACAATCTCCAGTCCGCAGAAAAAATGGTTTTTGACGGATAGACTGTATTACAGATAGTTTTACAATACGTTTCTTCTATAACACGGCATCTCATTAATGCAGGCTTGGGTGGTGTTCCTGTAGACTTTGCTCACATAAATTCATAGGTCCTGGTCTCCTGGTTGGCCTTACTAGAAGTGAAGCTAATGATTGGGGTGTCAGGGAAAGTGGCTGGTCTTCTGCAGGACTGGACAGTGGGCCAAAGTGACATATCCCTGGCTCTGCATACTTTAGTCTGTGTTCTTTGGTCTGGGTGTAAGAGGATGTGGATATCCATGTCCAATCAGCTAGCTGAGTTTCTCTCAGATGCTTGTTTGCATGTGCTCCATACGCTTAAGGACTATAAATAACATGTAATGTGATTTCTTTACTTATTTCTACTTTTTTCTTTTTCCTTCCAAGGTGTCCGTTGTAGCTCACATTGCTGGTGGCTTGGCTGGGATGACTGTAGGTTTCACTGTATTTAGCTGCTTTGAAAAGGAGTTGCTGAAAGACCGGATGTTCTGGGTTACAATCATTGGCTATTTTGTTTGTGTTTTACTTGCTGTGTTTTTTAACATCTTTTTGTCACCAGTAGACTTCCTCTAAGATAATTCAATTAAAAAAAAACCCCACTCGTGAGAACACAAAGACATCTTTGAAAGGCAAAGGGGAATTCCATTAACTGTTTATTTTGTCTCCTTCACTCTGTTCCTCGTAAGAACCTCTGTTTGGAAGGCATATATAGAGGCTCCATAACAAGGGAAGGGAGGACTTAGATAGCCCCATTATGCCTCCTGGGTGGCAGTACAGTTTCCTGGATGTAAAGGAGAAGGGCTCTTTTTTTTTTTCTTTATAGGCAATTGGGGTTAAGTGACTTGCCCAGGATCACACAGCTAGTAAGTGTCAAGTGTTTGGTCTGAGGCCGGATTTGAACTCAGGTCCTCCTGACTTCAGGGCCAGTGCTCTATCCACTGTGCCACCAAGTTGTCCCAAGAAAGACTCTTGCCATTCGTAGGGGATACATTGTAGAGATCCCAGCAAATAGGAGACTACAGATACTGTACTATGGAGAGAATAAAACCTTTTGGTCCTTTTCTGGCTCTTTGGCTATTGGCTATATTATCCTTCACCTTTCATTTCCCACCTGTCTGCTTTCTTGGACTTCTTCATCTCCAGAAACTCATCATTCTGCAAGGTGAAATCAACCTGTAAACTCTCACCTCCTCAGGTCATTTCCCAGCCTGGCCCCTGAGCTTGGTACTCCTCATCCCTTTCAATTTCTTTTTATGTGTGGTCTCCCCCATTAGACTGTGAGCTCCTTGAGGGCAGGGACTGTTTTATGCTTATTTCTGCATCCCCAGCACTTTGCACAGTGCCTGGCACATAGTAGGCACTTAATGTTTATTGACGCTGATTGAGACTTACTCTTTTAGCATCATGATATAGGGGTCAACGCTGAAGCACTGAAATATATTGAAATTAAAGAGATCATTCCAGTTCATTGTTCAAGTATTAACAACATTCAAGGGGGGATCAAGAGGAAGTTGGCAGGTCAAGCTGTCAGTATTTGTAGGTTGCTCCTTGGTAATGAGGAAATTGTGGGAATTGGGTGAACCACACTGACCTCATCTTGTGACTCAGGTCTGGAGCTAGCTCAGTTCCCTTTCTATTCAATTATGGATCTAGTCCAATTTCTGTCTCATGAGAAAACTTTATTCAGTTTATGGGAGTTGTGAGAAAACTTTAACACATTTTTTTGAACCAAGACCTGCATGGCTGGGAAGCTGGACCACCCCAACCTGATGTTTAGAGACCCTTCACCAAGGACCTAGGTTATGCTGAGCAGAAACCCAGTCAAATCTGAAGATTGAGACCAGGAACTTCCTCACAGTTCTACATCTCAATCAACTCACACATCTTATTTAAAAACTGGCCTTGTACTGGTCAGTTACTGTTTCCTTATTCCTTTAACAGAATACAGACACTTCTGTTTTAATAAAGGTTTCCTGTACTGATATCTAAGTCTTCATCATAATGTGTTATGATTTTAGTTCAAAGGTCTGGCTATTGCTGGTTTGGGGGTTCAGAGTTGCTACTGACTTCCTGGGAAGTGTAATGGAAACTGTATTATCATCATGCCCTGGACTCTGGGTCACTCTCTTTGATGGAAAGGTTCTTTTATCCCAATATGGCTATTGGGCCCTCACAGGACCTGTGTGTGGGACTGATAACTGGCAAAATGACTTACCTAATCTTTGGGAAGTCTCAAATTCAGGGCCCAGGCTGCTAACTGAAATATGGTCATTTAGACCACATAAGCATAGGAAGCATAATCAGTTCTGCCAATGGCAAAAACATCTTTTGTAATGAACAACTCATATTTATGTACAAGGATCTCTTATGTACAGTTGCTACTCCCTGAGAGGGCCTATAATTCTTTTTTTATTTTTCCACATGAGAATCTTAGAATCTCAACATGGAAAGATGTCTTTGAATTCATATAAGCTCAAGCACAAATCCTTTCATCTCTGAAGAGTTCTTGAACACTTCAAGGGAGTGGGAACTCACTCCCTTTTATTTTAGGAGATCTTTCATTAATTGAGAAGTTTCTTCTTATCCTAAACCTAAAATCACTTCCGTGTACTTTCTACTTATAGTTTCTAGCACTCCCCTCTAAGAGCAAATGTAGTATAAAGAAGGCTGAATGTGGAGTGAGAAAACTTATAAAATGATTTGCTTGAAGTGGAGGTAGTGTGGGAGAGCAGAATGACCACTATCTCTTGAGTCAGAGGACCTGGGTTTGAATGCCCTTCCGCGTGGGATTTGGGGCAAGTCAGGTATTCTCAGAGGGTCTGAGTTTCCTCATTTGTAAAAAGGGCCTCTGGGGTCCCTTCCAGTTTTGTGTGTATAGGATGACCTTCTGGGGACATGGGGCTATGGCCACATTTTGCTGGAAGTGATAGTGATGTAGAAAGTAAGACTGATTTTTTGTTGACTGTTACCCTTAGTTCATAAAATTGTCACTGCACTTTGTTGCATGGATATTCTAATAAGCCCTTTGCCACCAGAAGGAAGCAAACTCTGCGGGTAAGCTGGGTGTGGCTGATAGTGCAGCCTTTGCTGATAACCCACCCTCCAAAGCAAGATAGGTTTTTTATCTTACTAAGGAGTGGCCAATTGGAATGATAGGATTTTTTTTTCATTGCACTGTACTGTTCCTTTGCAAAAACAGGACTAAAACCAGTAAAACCATTTGAGAGCTAGGCTGATGGAATGAGTTTTAATTGGCAGACAGGAGCCCAAGTTGCTTTTCTCTGGGCCTCAGTTTCCCCCTCTGTAAAATGAAAGTGGTATTGCACTAGATGCTTTCTAATATTCCCTTTAGCTCTGAAACTCAGATTCTGTGAAATTCACCTATTAGAGGTAGCTATGTGGTGCAGTGGATAGAGTGATGGGTTTGAAATTAGGAAGACCTGAATTTTCAAATCTGGACTCATATACTTACTAGCTATGTGACCTTGGGCAAGTCACATAACCGCTATTTGCCTTAGTTTCCTCAATTGTAAAATTGGAATAATAATATTACCTGCCTCCCAGGGTTGTTATGAAAATCAAATGAGATAATTTTTATGAAGTGTTTAATATATAAATGATATTATTATTACTGTGTGCAAGGCCCTATGCCAGGCATCAAGAAATATAAGACCTTTTTTATCAGCAAAACTAAAAATATTAAGAAATAATATTTTCCTCCAATATCCTTTCCAGACTTCTGGGAAAAAGCCTTTAGGAAAAGTGAGTATTAAGAAAAGGACAAAAAAGCTTTTCTTAGGGAAACAGATTAAGGGTGGCACTTTAAGAAAGAGTAATTCTAATCTTGTTCAGTCATCTTTCTCCATTAGCACAGTGCCTGGCACATAGTAGGAGCTTAATAAATGTTTGATTGATTGATTGAGAAAGGATTAAGATATTTATGGACAGGAAGGTGTATGAGTGGTCCAGAAGAGAACGAGATTGAGCTTTGGCTTGGATATAGATCAATGATGAATTAAATAAAATTGTTTCTAGAAGACAAGCAGAAAACACAGAATATAGTATTAGTATTAACATTTTTTTTTAAATCATACAAAGAACTCACTTCCTTAAAAGGAAGAGTTGGGGTCCATGAACTTGTAATTTTTTTATTTAAATATTTGATAACTATATTTCAATATAACTGGTTTCTTTTAAAATTTTATAATTTTCTGCATTAAAAACATCATTTGAAGGAGGAGTCTAGAGGCTTCACATGACACACAAAAATGGTAAGAACTCCCGTAATAAAGCCACCTAAGTGATGAATTTGAGACACTTGGAAATTTGCTAATCTTTGTATTTTGTAAAAAAGGAAAATGAAGGTAGTCCATAAAATCAAAACCGTAGTTTAGATTAAACTATGTTTTATTTATCCAAAAGAGATTTCTTGTGTAAATATTTAAATAAAATGAACATTTCCATACCATTTCTTTAACGGAGAAAAATGATGTATTCGCCAGGTTCTTTCCAAGACTCTGATTAACAGCTCAATTGTTGATGTCTAAAACAAGAGAAGAATCAGTCTCCTGGAGTCATTGGTATTGCAAACTTTTTTTGCAGGTGTCTTACTGGTATGGGTCTCATTTTGTGACACAATTTTTAAAAAAAAGGATGTAGGTGAATTACAACTCACTCTTGTGTGATCTTCACAGCACCCTTGGAGGCTCATACTAAACTTAAACAACTGGAATGAGCTCCTAGTTACCTGTTGACACTTGTCACTTGAACAATCTGTACATCTGATATCATGTATCTGATAGAGGTCAGATACTGTTAACTATAATTTCAATGCCCTGGCTGATGATCTGGGAAGTTTTGGAGTTTGTTGCAATGAGAAATCAACTTGCAGGAGAGTTGAAAAATTTGTATTATATCTATAAAGTAATTGCCATGAATATATGCATATTTTTGATGGATTTCTGGAAAACCTTCACACACTCACAGTATCACTCAAGGAATGAGTAAGTAGAAAGATGAACCTCTTCCTTGAGACCAGGTTTCCTTGCTTTACTTTAGTTTTCCTAAATGCTCATCCTGCCCTTCAAGAAGCTTTCATTCTGCTGGGGGTGGGGGTGGGGGAAGGTGTGTGTGTGTGTGTGTGTGTGTGTGTGTGTGTGTGTGTGTGTGTG